GCCCTGGTGCGAGGCACGACTCGAAGAGAGACAACATTGTTGGATTTAGTCCAAGCTCTGCATCCCATGCCAGCAGTCAGTGGCTTACCGCAATCGGATGCACTGAAACTTCTTCGAGAGAAGGAAAATCTGGACCGCGGCTGGGTTGGGGCACCGATTGGGTGGATTGATGCGAACGGTAATGGTGAATTTTTCGTTAGTTTAATCTCAGCGTTGGTGAGTGAAAGCTCGGTCGCATTGTATGCTGGCTGCGATATTGTAGCTTATTCAGATCCAGAAGATAAACTTTTTGAAACGACACTGAAAATGGAAACGATGTTATCCGCACTCGGTGAGACGTAGATCATACGAAGAACAGTGACAATCTCATGATATTTCAATGTGTGTTGGGACACTATTAAGTATACTTTTTTTCCTAATAATAATCATCATATCACACCGGCGGGCAGGAAAGGATGGGCTTGACCTAGGGTGGAAAAGAAATTTCGGAAATGTCGAGAGATGTTTCTTCGTTGAGGTACATCCTGAGCTGCCAGTATGATGTCGTCCTGAGCATTCCCTGTATGGAAGAACAACGTTGTAGAGAATTCAGTGGCTTGAAGATAGGTCCGCGATGCAGAATTGGCTTTGGGAATCGGTTTCGACTAGAAGAAAGATTCAATTCGTTTGGTAGTTCGAGTTCCATACAGTAAGGAAGTCAAAACTCTCGGACTTGAACTCTTCCGGTTTCCAACCGATGACCATAGTTAAAGACTTGAAAACCGCTCAAAAACAGTTAGAGAGGGAACTTTGAATGAAATATAGTACTCTTTGGATCATCTTGATATTGTAGAAAAAAATATACTGTAGTGCATTGTTTTTTTAATAACGTTAGGCAGAAAGACGCTGGAGCCTTGCGATTTTCAGTTTTGAAAATAAAAATGTTGAGGCTATCCGAATGTAAAAAACTAAAAGGAAAAGTACCACCGCAAGAGATTGATCTCGGAATTATGGCAGTGTCGAATTCAACTATTGGAAAGATTAGCGAAACTGAAAGCGCCATGGACGGTAAAGGTTTGACAGAAGTTTCAAGAATCCAAATAAATATCAAACACGC